GCCCCCTCCCCGCTCCGGGAGCTGTTCGGGGCCGGCCGGGCTGGAATTCACTGGCCCGTTCCCACGTGCTGCTCGCCCCCTCGCTGACGCACATCCCCCGCCCACGCGGCCGGAGCTGGCTCCTCGAGCCCGGCACCAGCCGCCCACGGGCCGGGCCCAGCTGGGCGGGGCGGGGCCGGGCCGGGGGGTGACCAGCGGCCCCTGCAGCCCGGGAGCGGCGGCTCCTCCCTGCAGCCCCCAGCCCTGCTCTGACCACTGAGCCACACGCCCCTCCCGCAGCCGGGCGGGAACCCAGGAGTCCTGGCTCCCGCCCCCACACCAGAGCCAGGACTCCTGGGTTCTGTTCCTGGCAGGCGAGTTTCCTGGGCCGCCAGCCCCCCAGTGGGATGATGGGAGCAGCCTGGCTGGGGGCCAGCGAGACCCCTGGACTCTGCCCCCCGTATGGCTCAGGCCGGTGGGGTTCACGCTGGGCACGGGAGCTGGCGTGGAAGGGGGGCGGGCAAGCAGGGAGGATTCACCCCCCAGAAGAGGCAGCAGCCTCCCCCACCCCCCAGCCAGCTACGCCGGGGGGGGGCCGAACTCCCGGCTAGCGCTGGGAGCAGGCCAAGGCCCAGCCTTGTGCCCAGGGAGAGCCGGGCACCGTGGGCAGCGCGTGGGCACGGCCCTGCCAGGTCCCCGAGCGAGAAAATACTTGGCATGAAAATGCCGGGCGGGGGCTGGGAACAGCAGGATCGCCAAGAATCTGCCTGCGCCCCTGGTGGAGCCACAGGGGGGGCTCCCCTCCCCCTCTTCCTTCCCCTTCTCCCCCTGCTTCCTTCCCTGCGCCCCCTCCCCTCAGCCCCACTCCCTTTCCCTCCCCCTCTGCTCCCCCACTTCCCTTGTATGTTGTCCCCCGCCTCCCTCCCCAGCCTTGCAAATGGAACATGAGAAAAAGGGGGACAAGGGGAGAGTCTGTGACCCCCCCGACCTGCCCATGCTTCTGGTTAAACTCCCGCCCCCCCGGGGCCCAATTTGCATCAACCCACCTTCCCCTGCCATTACCGCTGCCTGCCACATGTTCCCCCTCAACCTTTAAAGGCAGCTGCATTTCAGCCCTGGGCGAGGGGTCCCCTGACAAACAGCTGCCATGTCGCACTTCAGAGGTGGCTGCATCCCGGCGCTGGGGGAGGGATCCCCGGATAAGTCACCAGCAGATTCAGAGATTCTGGGACAAAAGGTGGGAGTTTATTTGGAGGGCTGTGTGGGCTTTGGGGGGACGAAATAGGAGAGTTTAATGACTGTATTAATAATGACATCCCGGTTCAGAATACAATAAAGGCCAATAAACAGAATGCCTCTGATCTAACGGCCAGGCCGCTGGCCTCAGACTCACAAGACCTGGCTTCTGTTCCTTGCCCTGCCACAGACCGGCTGGGTGACCTTCCCCCCACCTCCGTGACTCAGTTTCCACTCCAAAGGATTCTCAGTGGTAAGCGCTTTGGGGCACCGACTGTCTCTCCCTGATCTTCAATGGGTGTGGCCAGAGATAATACCAATCTGCTCCATGCTCAGCCACACAGTTCTTGTGGAGACACCCCTGCGAGGGCTCGGCAGGGCCCCCCGCGCTGATTTCAAACCCCCACAGCCCCTGCTCAGCCCTCCTCCCCTGGCAGGGGACGCTGAGTAACAGAGCACGGAGCCCAGACTGTAGCGACAAACGGAGCAGAGAGTGGGAGGCAGAGACGTGTGATCCTCACCACCCACCTTTACCTAGGGGAATTACCCTCCGCGAAAAGCCCCTGGGGTTAAATTGCAGGCAGGGAAAAGGGTGGTGAATTGCACCAGTGAAAGAAGTGCACCAGCCGACCAAGCACGTGCTTGGGGCGGCATCTTGGAAGGGGCGGCCAATCTTGGGGTGGCGGGGGCGCTCGGGGTTTTTTGTTTGTTTGTTTTTGTTTCAGCGGTGCGGCATGGGGGGGGCGGGGGCTTCGGCGGCGCAGTGCTGGGGGGGTTGGCGCGGCGCGGCGCTCGGGGTTTGGGCGGGGCAGCGCGGCACTGGGGGGGGAGCTTGGGTGGGTGGTGCTGCGCTCGGGTGGGGGCGGGGGGTTCGGCGGCGCGGCGTTCGGGGGCGGTGTTACGGCGGGGCGGCGCTCTTTTTTTTTTTGCCTGGGGCGGCAAAGAAGTTAGAGCCGGCCCTGGTTTCAATCCATAACTGATGCAGTGAGTGGCTTCGAGCACAGGTGTGGGGGCTTTGAACAGCCACGCCTGGCAAAAATTCAGCACTGCCCGGCCCTTGTTACGGCGGGTCACAAACCCGAGGGCCCCATGCCAGGCGGCACTGGGCTTCACGACGGCAGCCCCGGATTGACGCTGCCTGCAGCAGCATGGGCTGGGGGAGGCTGCAGGGACAGGATGATTCATGGCCGTGCCAGTTGCTGTTTGCTGGCGGGCCCTGTGTTTTTCCAAGCCCTGGCGCGTCACGAGCCCATCGGGCAGGGAGGCAGGGCACAGCAGGAGGGCACGGCCCCTGGCATGGGCTGGCCCGAACCCCGGCGTGTCAGCCGGTCGGTTCGACTCTGTCACCTCCGGCGGATGGCGTGGGGTCACCCCCTTATGACCGTAACAGGGGACTGTGGAACCAGCCGGGACTTTAATTCATTCACTACAATTGGAATGAGATTTGGGGATGGGGCAAATTCAGGATTTGTCAATCATCGGTCCACCCCAGCAGCCTGCCTGATGCTATCTAACCACTAGGCCTGATAGCCCCCCGGACTAAAATCCCCACCCTGCATTTCTCCACCGGGGCCCCTGCCTCCATCAGTTGCCGTCCTGCAGCCCCGGGTTCCACTGCTCCCCCTTCTCTTAGTTTGGGGCACACTGTTGCACCTTGTTCTACCCAGCAGCTGTGTCTAATCAGAACCTGGCTTGAGATACCACCGGGCTGAGAGCAGAACAAAAGCTCCCACAGCCAGAAAACTGGAAAAGCCACGAAATCCTGTGAGTCGGGTTCTGTATTTTAGCCCAAATCATCTGTATTTCCCCATTGAAAGCGAGGAACTGAGTCGCTGCTGTGCTAGAAATGATCCTTTGGAACCCAGATTAACTTTCCTTTTTGAAAGTCCCTTTTGCAGAAAGCAGGAGCCCCCTGGACGCAGGGGACTTGGCAGCTCATGCCGGAAATCTAGCCAGCTGCCCCGCTTTGGGGGTATAGAGACGCCGGCTTCCTCGCTGCTTTTCAGGGGCCCCCTTTGCTGCACTGAAGGGGCCTAAGCCCAGCCCACCCCTTCGGTCTAAGTCCGATGACCTCAGTGGGGGCGAATGCAGCCGGAGGCTCTCTGTTCAGCTCATTTAAAGCGTCACATCCGCCCACCCACACGCAGCGTGGCGAGCTGGGGATATTGTCAGAGACGCTCCTGGCCTCTGGGACTCCGTTAAAGGCCGGGAGAGAACCGTGAGCCGGAGCAAAAGGGAGCGGGACTGGGGACAAGTTGGCCCCCGCTTTGATCTACTGGGCTGATTTCTTTATTATTTGGCAGCCGTCTGCAGTGTCCAGAGGCCTCAATCAGGGACAGAGCCCTAATAGGTTAGGCACTGTCTGAGCACAGAGGAAGACAGACATTAAGAGACCAGGAAAAGGGGGGAAACTAAGGCACAGAGGGGGGAAAGGACCTGCCCAAGCTCACAGGAATAGAACTCAGGTGTCCTGTCCACGGTGCCTGTGCTGATTAGCTTAGGCCTTGATCCTACTGACACGTGTACTCCCGTGCAGGGAGTTAGGCAGGCGTGGGCTTGCCGGGTCGGGGGCTGCCGGAGCCAGGTGGGCTGTGCGGGGCATATGGGAGGAAGGGGGGCATTCAATCGGATGCGATGGCTGTATTAATAGCTGCAATTGTCATGCTATATATATCGACTCACAAAGAGACGGAGGAAGAGCCCACTTGTGCCAGCACCGGCTGGCTGATTTCTGGCAGGCGTCACAGCCCGGGGGGGCTTGTAGCTGTGCAGAGGGGCGGTTTCAAGGCGGGCGCTCCGTGCCCCTGGGGCAGCCGGGGAGATGGCACGGGGAGGGTTGTGTGAGCAGCGGGCAGGTGGACAAGGCTGGGGCCGCTGGCAGAGCAGGGTGGACAGGGAGGGGCAGGGCTCTGGGCGGGGGGCGGGAAGAGTCGCTTGCCCCCAGTGCAGTGAAGCACAGGAAGGACTTGGAAAAGGGGGCGTTGTGGTCAGAGATGGTTGATGCAAGAGCCCCTACAATAACAACCCAGCCCCTCCCCCCACAAGGGCCCTACAATAACAACCCACCCTCCCCCCACAAGGGACCCTACAATAACAACGCACCCCTCCCCCCACAAGGGGCCCTACAATAACAACCCACCCCTCCCCCCACAAGGGGCCCTACAATAACAACTCAGCCCCTCCCCCCACGAGGGACCCTACAATAACAACCCAGCCCTCCCCCCACAAGGGCCCTACAATAACAACCCAGCCCCTCCCCCCACGAGGGACCCTACAATAACAACCCACCCCTCCCCCCACAAGGGCCCTACAATAACTACCCAGCCCCCCCCGAGGGACCCTACCATTGGTTGGTACAGCCATGAGTCAAACGTTGCTATGGGGCAAAGAGGTCTCGTGATAGGTGGAGAGGCCTGTCAATCATCCCGGTTGCTAGTGTGTGGGCTGTATTGAATTCTGATATGCTGAGGAAGCTGTCAGTCACTGTAGTTGCTAGGGGGAGAGTCTAAGAGTTACCATGGGGCTGGTCGGTTGCCGAGGGCCGATCTAAGGGTTACTATGGGGCTGAGCGGTCCTATGATAGGCTGTCTAGCTTGTCAGTCAGAGTGACTAGAGCTAGGCGGGAGCTAGGCGTGGCCGAGACCTGCACCGCTCCCTGATAGGCTGAGGAGGGCTGTCGGCCAGCGCGGTTGCTAGGGCGCGGGAATTTACGTCACTGTAGACGCGGGCGCCCATAGGCCCGCGGCCTGCCCGTCCCCCTGGTTGCTAGGGAGGGCTGATGACGGCGCGGGCGGAAGTGCGCGGCGCGGCCATGGCGGGAGGGATGAAACCAGCCCCGGGGCGGCGGCGGCTCCGGCTCCTGGGGACCCTGGTGCTGCTGCTGCTGGTGGGGGGCGCCGGCGCAGGCGCAGAAGGTACTGGGGGGCTGGGAGCTGGTTGGAGGCAGGCACTGGGGGGGCTGGGACTTGGAGCGC